ATCATTTTAAGTAACATGCCCCAAGTACAATTTTATCTTTGGCACATATATAGGCACAAAAAATCAGAGGCTATTTTTTCACTCAGTTTGACAGAACCAGGCAGATGATAAATCAGCTGATGTGTTTTAAGAACTAGAGCAATTTAGTCAAATTTTAAATAAATTTAGGTGGTGTGTAGTTGAACCCTCTGATATTTACTTCCGTTGAAAATTCTAATGAGCAACAAGTGTCTTGAAAAACAAATTTTATACTCAAATGTCTGAACATTTGCCGAAAGCAAATTTTGAATTGCTTAGTAATCTGTAACAGTACAGACTGCCAACTGATATCCATGTTGCTGTTGGTGTGTTGCATCTGTTACATTTAGGAAACAGAAATTATACTATATGAATTAAGAAACCTATCAACCACACAGATTGTAAATGCTCACAGTCAACTGCTCACATATGGTCGGTGCAACACAGGAATTTGTGAACATTGCAAATTATGAATTAAATAGAAGTATGTTTTCAATTTGTGCCCAGGCAGTGCAGAGAAGACTTCTGGGGAGCCAGGGCTAACGAGATGTGTAACTGAGTCCATCTCTCTTCCTTAGTTTCATAGTTTCTAGGGTCGGAAGGGACCTGAACAGATCATCAAGTCCGACCCCCTGCCCTGGGCAGGAATGAGTGCTAGGATCATAATACCACAGCCAGATATCTATTCAACCTCCTCTTGAAGACCACCAAGGTAGGGAACAGCACCCCCTCCCTTGGGAGTGCGTTCCAGAGCCTGGCAGCCCTAACCGTAAAGTAATGCCTCCTGATATCAAGCCTGAACCTACTCTCAATCAATTTGTGGCTGTTATTCCTTATTATCCCAGGTGGTGCCTGGGGGAACAGAGCCTGCTATTTTCTGCTGGTCCCCCCTGGTGAGTTTATAGACAGCCACCAGATCCCCTCTCAGTCTTCTCTTGTGGAGGCTGAATAGATTCAGGCCCTTTAGTCTATCTTCGTAGGGCCTGGCCTGCTGGCCCCTGACCATGTGAGTGGCCCTCCTCCGGACCCTCTCAAGGTTAGCCACATCCCTCTTGAAGTGCGGCACCCAGAACTGGACGCAGTACTCCAAATGCGGCCTGACCAGCACCACATAGAGGGGAAGGATCGCCTCCCTGGACCTGCTTGTGATGCATCTGTAGATGCATGACAAGGTGCAGTTAGCCTTACTGACTGCTTCCTCACATTGGCGGCTCATGTCCATCCTTGCACGTGTCTGTTTTGAATTCCATCCTATTCTCATCTGCCCACCTCTGTAACCTGTCTAGATCTAGTTGGATTCTGTCCCTCCCCTCCAGTGTGCCCACTTCTCCCCACATCTTTGTGTTATCAGTGAATTTGGACAGCATGCTTTCCATGCCCACCTCCAAGTTGCTGATAAAAATGTTGAATAGCACAGGTCTGAGAACCAAGCCCTGGGGAACTTCACTGCTCACATCCCTCCAGGTCAAAAACAACCCATCCACCACCACTCTCTGGCTGCCACCATCGAGCCAGTTTGCCACCCATCTCATTGTGTAGGCATTAATGCCGCAGTTGCCTAGTTTTTTTTATGAGCATGGAGTGAGAAAGTGTCAAAGGCCTTCTTGAAGTCCAGGTAGACGACATCCACCTCAAAGCCCACATCCAAGGACTTTGTGACTTGGTTGTAAAAGGAAACAAGGTTGGTCAGGCAGGATCTGCCCGCAATGAACCCGTGTTGCTTGCCCCTGAGCATTACCTCCTTTGCTGGGGCCCCACAGATGTGCTCCTTGATAATTTTCTCAAAGGCCTTCCCAAGGACTGAGGTGAGACTAACTGGCCTATAGTTACTCGGGTCCTCCTTTCTCTCCTTCTTGTAAATGGGGACCACACTGGCCCTTTTCCAGTCCTCTGGGACCTGGCCAGAGTACTATGAGCACTCATACAGCTGTGCCAAGGGCCCTACTATGACCTCCGCCAATTCCCTCAGTACCCTTGGATGAGCATCCGGACCTGCTGATTTAAACACATCCAGCCCCTCCAGAAGTTCCCTAACTAGATTGTCCCTGACCCTAGGCATGGCATTGTGTCCCCTGAGCCTGTCCATAATCCTAGTGGGGGAGACCTGCTCAGAAATATGGTGGCAAAGAACTTGTTGAAGAGATCAGCTTTTTCCTTTGCTGCAATCACTAGATTGCCAAGTCTGTCCTGCAGGTCCCCCACGTTAACTGGTGCCTTCTCACTCCCTACGTGTTTGAAAAAGGACTTTCTGTTATCCTTAATTCTGGTCACCAGCCCTAGTTCTGTCTCTGCCTTGGCCTTCCTAACCGCCTCCCTGCAATCATGAGCAATGGAGGTGTAATCCTCCTTGGTGATCGCCCCTTGCTTCCACTGATTGTATGCCACCTTTTTTGCCCTCAGGCCCTCCTGGATGCCTTTACTGAGCCAAGGGGGCTTTTTAGCACTCTTGTCCTCTTTGGTTCATGTTGGGACTGACTCCCTCTGAGCTCAGAGGATCATCTCCTTAAGGAACAGCCACCCATCCTGGACTCCCATCTCATTGAGGCTCTGAGTCCCCAATGTCTCTCTTACTAATCTCCTTAGTTCATTGAAGTTGGTCCTCCTGAAGTCAAGGACTTTTCCCTTACTGCTTGCTTTCACCACCCTGCACTGGATAGTTAAATTCCAGCAGATGACAGTCACTAACGCCTAGGTAGTCAGGCACCTACAGATCCCTCACCAGGTCATCGCCTGGGGCAAGAACCAATTCCAGCAAGGCATTTCCTCTGGTGGGATTGTATACCTCCTGGGTTAGGTGGAGGTCCTGTATGCAGGCTAAAAACTTATGTGAGCATTCAGACCTTGTTGACTGATCCTCCCAGCAGGTGTCTGGGTAGTTTAGGTCACCCATAACAACCACATCCCTTGTCCTTACAATCTCCGTGAGCTGATTGGAAAATTCAAGGTCCAGCTCATCCCCTTGGTGAGGTAGTCTGTACTAGACGCCCACTATCAAGTTCCTTTCCCCATGACCCCCTTGTATTCTAACCCAGAGCGCCTCAGTTTGTCCCTCTTCTGAAACCATCCTGATCATCGAGGATGTGTACTGCTCTTTAACATAGAGTGCTACACCCCACCCCCCCACACATTTTTTCCCCTACTCTATCCTCTCAATAAAATCTATAGCCCTCAATGTCTACTGCTCAGTCATGGGTAGAATCTCACCAGGTTTCTGTAAGCCCAACCAGGTCTGGGTTTTTGCTAGCTAGCAGGAGGCTGAGTTCCTCCTGCTTATTCCCCATACTTCTAGAATTTGTGAAGAGGCAATTGAGACCTCCTATGGGTGTTCGGGCTACCCTCCTGTTCCCAAGCTTGCCCGAGCCCTTGTCACTTACCTGGGTTGTTCTTGCTCACATCACCTGGCTTGATGTCCAAGTGTCCTCCTGCACCTCTGCATCCTCATCCCCCGATGAACTTAATTTAAAGCTCACCATACGAGATCAACCAACCTGGAAGAGAAAATACGTTTACATTTGAGGGAGAGGTGTAGCCCGTCCCACCCTAGCATGTCTCCTGTGTGGAAGTGTGGATCGTGGTCGAAGAAGCTGAAGCCTGCCTGGTAACACCAGCTCCGAAGCCACCAGTTGACCTCTCCAATGCAGGCCTCGTGGCACCGTCCATGTCTGCTCACCAGAAGAACAGATGAGAAAACCACCTGTGTTCCCATCTCCCTAAGCTTGGCCCACAGAGCCTTGTGTGGGGGCTGTGGGAGTGTGTGGGTGTGTTTTTGGGTGTGGTGGGAGGTGGGGCATGTGGAGGGGTGTAGGTGTGTGTGTGTGTGGTGGGGGGGGGGGGGGGGGGGGAATCCTCAGAGTCCCTGCAATGTGCAAGACCCTGGAGCTGCATGTGGTGGTGGAGAGTGGGGTCAGCCTCAGCCAGCCGTACAGTGTGTGCATGGGAGCTACACACTATGCAGGAGCTGCATGCTATGGAGCTGGGTCGGGTTGGCCCTGCACACTGCCATTATGTGTGGCTGGGGACTGGGGTGGGAGTGTGGGAGCTGCACACTGTGAGGCCAGGTGGGGCTGGCCATGCACCCTGCTGCCAGGTGCGGCAGGGACCTGGGCATGAATGCTATGGGGTTGGGTAGGACTGGCCCTGCACGCTGCCACCACTTGTGGCCAGGCACTCAGGCAGAAGCAAGGGAGCTGCATGTTAAGGGGCTGGGTGGGGCTGGCCCCACATGTTGGCAGCACCTGTGGCCAGGGACTGGGGTGGGAGTGTGGAGAGCTGCACACTGTGGGGCTGACCCCACTCTCTGCCACCACATGAAGCTCCAGGGTCTTGTACACTGCAGGGACTCTGAGGATTCTCCCCCCCTCCCAACCACACACACCCCTATACCCTTCCACACTCCCCACCTCCCACCACACCCACAAACACACCCACACCCTCTCACAGCCCCCACCCCAACATACCCATACCCCGATCCCAACCACATACCCAGCATTCCCACACCCCACACATATCCCCACAACACCCACTCCCCAACCACAACCACCACACATACATCTTTACCCCAACACACAATATACAAGAGTAAGACTGTATTTTGAGCTATTACATAATCACCTCTAGATACATGATGCAAATGCACATAAATTTGCAGGGAGGTGCAAAGCATCCTGGGATGCTGGGGGACAGAGTTAATTTGAATCTAGAGGGTATCTGGGACAGAAATTCAAGCAACCAATTTAACCTAAGTCAGTTAATTCTGATACTACATCCATCCAGGTTTATCTTAAACTAGTTTTGGCCATTTTGAAAGCACTTTACATGCACTGAACATCTGTTCTGCTACAGATTTGAACCACTTTTCAAATCACTTATCCCATTTTATGTGCAACGTCTCTGCCTAGCCAATGAAATAAGAGACAGGATCATGTTCAGGGAAAGAAAGTAAAAGGCACAAGAACCATTTTAGCAACTCCAGTAACCGTTTGAGGGAGGAAAGAAGTTGACTTCACCATCTGCTAAGCAGCTATGCTGCTTTGTTTTATTTGTACTCAGTCAAGTTAAAAACCTACACTAGATAGAGAGAGATGCACTGAGCCTCTTCAAGGCAAAATGCTCTAAGTGGAATGTCAAGTGCCACAAACACCGAGGTAGGTCACAAGACAACCCCACCCGCTTCTACAGAAAGTCCTTCCCCTTGCTCTACTTTGTTCTCCATTTCTGAGGAAACCTAATTAAGGGTGCACTGGTAAGATAAGTTCTGGTATGATAAGAGTTTTCTCAAGGGTGTTTGTACTTTAATGTGTTTATTATATAGGACTAGCAGGTAGACTGCAATAATTTACCAGGAAACACTTTTACCAAGAAATGTATTCCAGGGGAAGATAAGATTTATGAAGGTCACCGTCACCCTGAATAGATTTTAAAAAAAATTATTTTCTGGTGCCCACATGTGCCTTTTCCATAATAAATTAAGCAAACTGCAGCTTTATAAGAAATGAAAGGACTCCATCTTTATAAATGGGAACCCACAGTTAACCTTTTACGGCTACATTTAAACAGCTAAATAAGTGACCTCATTTTCATAAGTGCTGTATGCTCAGCAGTCCCTAGAGATGCATGGTGGTGAACTGCCTTAAGTCACTGGAAAAAGCACAACTAGCTGAACAGGGGGCTTCTGAATTCAACGTAGCACAGGCCTGCACTTTCTGTTTCCATTCTCACAGTTCGATTCTCTTTGTTGCAACCCAGTTGCTACACTTCACAGCAATGGTAAGGCTCCCAAAACCACATTCAAAGAATCAGGAAACAAGGAGGGAAGTAGAAGGGAAACTCCTGCTATTCTAGAGATCACTCTGTCAACCATTCTACCCTGGGAAACTAATAGGGGAGTGGGGGGAGGAGGGCATGCATGTGTATAAACTACATTATTCATAAAATACAAATGATATGCATTGTCCTTGTTCCTTTGTACTTTAAAGTACATTTAAAATGATCAGGGGTGTAGGCTGTAAGGACATAGGCAGATAAGGTTCTTTGGGTGAATCTGATATCTTTTATTAGACCAACTTAAATAGTTGGAAAACAATTTTTAAGCAAGCTTTCGGGTTCAAAAACCCTTCGTCAGGCTGAGGAAGTTTCAGCAGTTGGTGTGTGCTCTTGCTGGATGGAATGAAAAGTAAAGAAGCCAGGGGCTGGGCTGGTATGCATACAAGACAGGTAGTCAGTGAAAATGTAGACTGAGGAGTCAATGGGTGACAGACAGGCTGGGAGGTGGGGGGCAGAGAGAGAAGAAGGATGAAAGTGCAGAGATACCTGGGGAGTCAGATGTCAGGCAGGTTATAAACGTGTCATAAATCCAATGTCTATATTTAGTCCATGATCTCTAGTATCCAGGAGGTTGATGAAATGGAGCTCATAGGCTCGTCTCTGAGACGTGTTCTGTAAGTTTCCTTTGAGGATCAGGACTGAGAGATTGGAGAGAGAGTGGTTTTCTTGTGAGAAATGTGCCCCTACGGGTAATTGGGTATTCCTGTCGTTGATAGATTTCCGGTGTGCATTCATTCTGGTGCGCAGTTGTTTGGTCTCTCCTATGTATTTTCCATCAGGGCATTTGGTGCATTGGATGAGGTATATTACATTTCTGGAGGTGCAGCTGTAAGATCCAGGGATGCTGATGGCTCTGTTGTGGGGTGTAGTAATAGTGGGGGTGGTGGAGATGTGTTGGCAGGTTTTGCATTTCCTGTCCTGGCACGGTCTGGATCCTTTAGGTGTGTTCTGGGTCTAAAGAAGTTTGCTTCTGGTGATGCGGTTAGCGAGGTTTGGTGCTTGTTTGAAGGCTAGGATGGGTGGCTCTGGGAAGATATCTTTAAGAATAGGGTCTCTTTCTAGTGTGGGTTGCAATTGTTTGAGGGAGGGGTGATATGTCATAACCAGCGGTGTGCGATTTGTGGGGGTTTTTCTTCTGTACTGCAGCAGTTAAAACTGCTTAAAAATTGTGTTCCAACTATTTAAGTTGGTCTAATAAAAGATATCAGATTCACCCAAAGAACCTTGTCTGCCTTTAATATGATCAAACATTTTTCAATAACTATCCCTTTCTACTTTTAAAATAAGAATTAGCTAATATATATTCATATGTTTCTGGCTTCCCGGAAGTTGGCTGAGCATTACATTGAAACAAGTACAGAGTGTGTTCCAGGACCTCATCTTAGCATGCTTGATACAGCTCAGTGCAGATGGGCTGAGGCCCTATTCCTGTAGCAGTAATGGTCCTTGGTTGGTCTCGAGGTAATTTAAACCATTTTAAGGGAAGCAACCACAGGAAAAGAGTGACTAAAGCGTATGGAGTCCCTCTGCAATCCAAATAAGTTTGTTCTTAAATGCTTTTAGGCTCGAGTCCAAGTTTAGATATAGCACAAACATGGCAATTATAAGGAGGAAAGGAGGGGAAAGGTAAGAGAAAGGCTTACATATGCAGAAAGCCATATATGAAGTCACATATCCTATGTGTTTGAGCAAGCGCTTAAGACAACTGCATGGAAAGCATCATGATTCATAGAATGCAGAAGCTGTGTATGTGCAGTACATTTCTGAAGAGTAAGAAATGTTGGCTGGGCTTCCTAACCACCATTTCAGGGATTTGGTTTATATGCTGGTACATCTTTTCAGAAGAAGTTACAACAGGAATCAAGGCTTCATCTAGAGTCAGGAAAGCCACAGATTAGGAGAGTAAAAAATGAAGGCTCAGGTCAATAGGCCTGTGTAGCTGATAGACCTCCTATTTAATCCAGTTGGATGCTTGTCATTTACTCAGCCTTTTACCATCTGTTACCCCCAACTCCACATGCTGCATCCCTTCTGCAGTCAATAATCCACCACATGTGATACCAGTCCACAAGTTTGGGTGCTTTGTTTTGGTTCTCCCTGGCATTGGGAGGGTTGAACAAAAAATCAAGTCATGATGTTCCTCACTTCAGTTAGTTTGCACTCAGGAAATTGATTTACAACTTCATTCATACCCAGGCAACTGTGGTGCGTTAAGCATGACACACACACAAACTAAGGACTAGAACAGGAGGAAGAGGAGGAGAAAGGAACATTTGTTCGATATAGAGCGATGTGGGGCATGGATGGAGAGTTCACATTCATCCCACCTATGCACTTGCTCCTGTCACAGATCACTGGCAAAACTGTCCCAGCTGGATGCTCATTCAGTTGCTTGGTACACTTGGGTGCCAGCACACTGTCACAGATGCTCCCATGCTTTCCTTGGTTAGAGCAGGTGGCCACACTGGTTCTTTCCTGGCTTTTCCCACATGGACTGTCTGATAACCCTTCACAGGAATGGACCTCATGGGCCAGCTACCTGAAGACCAGTCCCCAAGATACCCTTTC